ACCAAGCTACAAAGATCATTCCATATAAATAAGGGGGGGGGGGAGGAGGGGGAAATTTTCAGTGATCAGTGGGATGTTATAAAGAGGTTCTTTTCCCCTTTGTTTTTCCAAGAAGACACCTTATCCAAGCAAGTGATCAACAAAAGAAGCTGCAGCCGAGTGAGCCCGTCAGATCCAACCATAGACCGCAAACCTCTGGCTGAGATTCAGAACATACCTGAGGACATTCAGAGCACTGGGCCTGCCCAGGGCCCTTGGCAGGCAGCACAGCCAAGTTCAAGTCTGCAGGTGCAAAGTGGTTCACAGGATGGAATCACTCAGCGCAGAGAAAGACACAACCGCCTGGAGAGAGACAGGAGGTAGCCAAAGGGTTTGAAGCCTAAAACACTGATGCTGTAACATTCCCATCGGTATCCAGAGTGGAATGTACATTTGACATACTTTGTTTTGCCTACAAGAAAAAGCAATGTAGGCAGTGAGGGTTTGGTGTTTGTTAGGGGGGAGAAACATGTCTGTTTCATTGTGGTTGTTTTTGTTGGGTTTTACTCTAGAAACAAACAAGAAGAGAGAGTTCAAAACTTTTAATGAATTATGTAAATATAAGATAACTTGCCTTTAACACAGCCAACATACAAATACAAAGCTTGTAGCAAACAAAAAGAAGTAGTCCTCAAAGCCTGTGGTTTGTAGGCTTGATTTTTAAATTGTTTCCCTTCCTCTTGCCCATGGGTTGGTAACCTTTTGTATTTGCTGTAGGCGCAGGATCCGGATCTGTTGTGATGAGCTGAATCTCCTCGTTCCCTTCTGTACTGTTGATACTGACAAGGCAACTACTTTGCAATGGACAACTGCATTTCTCAAGTACATCCAGGAAAGGCACGGGGATTCTCTGAAACAGGTGTGCAATCTAATCTTGTTCTTGTTCTTGATACAATTGTGAGATGTTTTAAATCTGTCATAGCTAAAAGTATATGGAGTGCTTCTCCTTGATGCTGTTTGTGAAGGGCCTCTTTATCACTGAAACTTCCTTTTAAAAGTGCTTCTATTTAATATCTGTCCTCACAACAGCTTCAGTTCAGTAGTGTGCAGCCACAGGCTGGCTGCAGTGAGGCTTTTCAAATGAGATTTTAGAATTTATTTATTTTTTCAGTTAGCCCAGTTCCTGAGCACGATAGCAGCTGGACACCACTGTAGAACTAGAGTCCTCTTCAATCATTCCTTGTCTCCTTAATGTTCTTTATTTTCTGTGTATTTCATGGACTTGCCTTCTAGCTGACTTTCCTGGACTTAGTGGTTAAGGGAGGGGAATCACAACTACATGCCCACACTTCCTCCAAGTGGGTGAGAGTAGTAGAGGCTTGTAAGCTCTATAAGCAGCTCTCATGCAACCACACCAGCAGTTGCAGCCCCAGAGTAATTCTGACTCTGCTAAGTGTCTGCAGAGAGTAGATGGAGCATGGGTAGGAAAACCTGCTTGTCTAGACCCTGGTGTGGCTTCTCAGCACTTCCTACTACAGGTGTATAGTTTTATTTCCCAAAGACAGTAGTGAAACAAAAACATACATCTCAAGTAAATACCTATATTAAACATAATCGTTATTTATTTTGATTTTTAGGAATTTGAGACTGTGTTCTGTGGTAAAACAGGCAGGAGACTAAAAGTACCAAGATCAGACTCATTTGTAACGTGTCCAGTGCAGGAAAACACACATGGCTACGGAGACCAAGTAGTCTGAGCTGACTGCCTTGAAGTGCATGACAAGTGTGGTTAACTAACAATGGCCCAAACTGTATTTTAGTTTCTCCATTTACATGCTGAGTGTGAATTGCAAACAATACCTTGTAAAAATATATAAATAGAGCTTTAAAGAAAAAATTATTTATTAGAAATGGAAAGTCAACTACCAGCAATAGCAGTCAGTCCTCTGTTAAGGGGGCTTTGGGACCAGGAGCTACAAGAAAATGTCTTAACAACTAGGTATTTTTCCACTTCAGTTATGAAAAATATGTTCTTTTTCTGTTTGTGGTCCTGCTTAGGATTTTATTTTTGTCGTTGTTGTGTTTTGTTGGTTTTTGGGGTTTTTTTAAATGATCCAGTAGAGTTAGAAAAAGCTGTAGAACATCCATCTGTCCTGTTATTTTAAAGACTAGCTGCAAATATGTTCTTCAAGTGTAAAAAGAAATTGCAGTTCCCATCTTTTAATTTTTCTATTACAAATTTAAAGGCTATATTGGTTAATTAGGTGCACAGTTTCTAAACTGTCCTGCTATTATACATTCCATATTTGCCATATACATTTTAAACTACACAGCCCCAGAAAGTAACATAATGTTGTTAGCTTTTTTTTTAACACAGGACTAGTTCTGCTGTCTGTCACACAACTGTCCAACAGGTTCTTGTGTGGTTATTTTAGTCCAAGAGTGGTGTAAAAGTAGACTGTAAAAAGTAGATTATTTAAATGCAGAAACTATTTTCATATTTAAAGATTAATATGACTTCTTTGTTCATAAGCTTTAGCATATTAGGGCAGAAATAGAATAGTGTGTGAGCTGAGAGTGGTTTTCTTATTTTTTTTAATAGATGATGCTAGCAGGTTTTAAAGTACAAAAAGGTCTCCCAAATACTGTTTAAATCAAGGATACGGAATTTTGCAGCAATTTATTTCCAGACAATCCTAGTAAAACCAGTTCTGGAAAACAGAGTTCAACTGAGTTAATTTGATGTGTATAATGACAGATACAACATCACAAAGAAAAGGTAAAAAAACCAAAATCTCCTTTTATTTTTACAACAGTTCATACAGGTGTTTTTGGCTGGACTTCAGAAGAGCATCCTTTCTTATTTGGGGTTTCAGTCACAATTACTGTGCAAATAGCTTAAGCAGAGGTTGTGAAAATGCTGTTCTTTAATTTCCTTTAGTGTCATATGGAAATGTACAAAGAGTCTCCCCTGTATATTAAAATATATACATTATATCTCTTGCAGAATTCGATTGCAGGAGAATTACTATTTACTTATCTTGGCAAACATTTGAGGTGCAATCTGAAAAACTGGTAATTGACAGCAGAGACTTAAACTCTGGTCTTTACTTAAGCCAGAATCTTAAAATATTAAAATACAGGATATTTTGATGCCTAATTTTCACTGATGTGAGGTGCCCAAATAGCTCAGCAATGTGTATCTTAAGCAGGTTTGTGCACTACCTGAAGTCAGTGGGAACAGCACCAAGGAATTCAATGGACAAGGCTCAAACATTTATACAGGAAAATTAATGATCTCTAGTACAGTTGGGGAGGAAGGGTGATGGTAAAAAGGAACAATGCTTCCTCTTGCAGGTCTCCTGAACAAAGGGAGAAAGGGAAGGTGAGATGATTTAGCAGTAAAATTTCTGGAAAATAAGTGGTGGGGGGGAGGAGAAAATACTCATAAAGCATCTTTTAATTATAAGTTTTCATCTGATGCTTTCTTTTTCATAGAACTGTGTCAGTCTCCACTTAATACAATAGAAGGAACATCTGTCCATTTATCACTAGGAGGATTCTGTCTGTTTTCTTACAATGTACTCTTTATTTAAATATTCAGTCCCTTCTCCACTTCTTGTACTGTTGTTTTATGATTTTTTGGAAGTTGATGCTCCAACAGCTCCCATGCAAGCCGATGTGTCACAAATTCCTGGAGTTCCCTGAGCCCCAATAGCACCAGGAGTACCAGGATCCCCTGGAAGACCGGGTTCACCCTGAGCACCATCCCGACCATTTTTAGTAATTCCAGGTACACCAGGTGGTCCTAAACAAGAAGGGGAGAAAGATTACGTTAATTATTAACCTTTTTTCATTTTTCATTTAATGTATGTGTGTGTTACTTTTAGAGTTCTTAAAATATTTTGAGTGTCTGTACATCAGACTTGTTATGGCCTGTTGAGTACAAGGTGTTGAATAAATTTAGCCTGAATCTGCAGTATGTGCATTGGATTTTTCAGACTACTTTTGGATCTCCTGGCATTACCTTGGCATATTGAAGGCAGATGTTTAGTGTTGCACTTTTGTCACTGCCTGTAGAACTGGATTCTATCTCAGCACTGCCCCCATTAGTGTAGGGCTCCAACAATAATAACCAGTCATTTGTGACCAGACAATTTTACACTGTCCCTGAATAGTTTGCCCAAGGGATTTCCTGGGTGTGGAATCTCACAGCTTAGTTATTGTGACCAGCTACATCTGTTCCTCCTTGCTGGCCCTCAGCTTGCTCCTCAGATTCAGCTGCTTCAATTCATCACAGCTCCTTAGCTGTGATTAAGATTCTGAGTCTCTTTATTATTATTGAGAGTCTCTTTAATACCTGTGTCTACTTTCACACATTTGCTCACAATGACATATGTATTTTGTTTATTGGCAAAAATAATTTCTGCTTTGGGTAGACTCAAGCTATTTATTAATTTCTTTTTTTCCTTCAGATGCCAAACATAATTCACAAAACTAATTTCTGTAGCAGCAAGCTACTGAAGCTTTCTTAAATACTGTAAAATACAATTCTGTCTCCCTAAGGGACAGACACATCAGGAGGTCTGTAAACCTGCAGTCCTGTCTTAATTATGATGGAGAGTTGGGGCCTGATTATTTTCATGTGATAAACTGCACCTGCTGTTGATCATATGTTTCCTGAGTAAGACACGTGCTCTCAGTGCCTAATATGTGACACAGCCTCTTCTTACACACTTTGGAAATGAAAACATTTATGGATAAATGCAATTCTTTTATGGAAGCTAAGACAACTGGGTATAAATATTCTGGTTTTATAAAATTACATGGTTGCAGAGCCTGCTTTTGGTGCCTGTAATGTAACCATTGCCCAGATGTAATCACAAGTAGAATAGGTAAGCAAAATAAAGAATATTCTTCCAAGTTTCTGATATATAATAATCTATTTGCATGAATTAATTTTTGAATCCTCTGATAAAGGATTCATGGGATTATAAGCAGGTGTATTTGGTTTTAGTAAAATTAAATATTGTCTCTGATTTCTCATTTGATCCAGAAACCTGAGCTGCAGGTTGGGGGGAAGCAGCTGCTAATCCAGGCTGTACCTCTCACTCTGGGCATTTTTTAAGCAAAGCATGAAAAAGACACGTGTCCATCAGGACACAGGCAATAGGCAGGATCCTTGGTCTTTAATCTGGAGCCAGAGCCTCTCAGTTGTTACACACCTTTAAATGAACTGATACACTGCTTGTTAATTAACTAATTAATTGCTGCATATTAAGTACCACTGAGAATAACAACCTTCTGACCCTGGCACCACATGTGATTAGTCAAGAAGGATTCTGACTTCCCAATCTATAAAATTCCTCTCCTTTCACAGCCTTAGTGGAAGAAACCAATAACAAATTAAGAGTCTGGCTGTCCCAGCAGCCTCTTCTCCAAAACATTCTCCGAAACACTTAGGCCGAGGCAGGAGTGGTGTGAAGAGGGGACGTGCTAATTAGGTTTACTGTCCACATTATCTGCACCTACTGTGAAGATGACAAAGTGATTATAGCACCCTCAATACACAGAGCTGCCCCTCTTGTGCCTCCACTTTAGTCATGGCTTATGGAAGGTTCCACCTAAACATGAGGAAAACCTTTCTGACAGGCTGCTCAGAGAGGTTGTGGAATCTCCTTCTCTGGAGACATTCCAAACCCACCTGGATATGTTCTTGTGTGACCTGCTCTAGGTGATCCTGCTCTGGCAGGGGGGGCTGGACTAGATGGTCTCTGGGGTTCCCTTCCAGCCCCCACCACTCTGTGTTTCAGTGCACTCTCTGCACAGCCTTACCTTGGAGTCCTTGATCGCCATCAGGCCCATCGATACCTTGACCAACGGGTCCTTTGTCGCCCTTTTCACCAGGGTCACCTTTAATCATAAACAGACCATTTCAGCAGTGAGTTGTGTGCTGCAGCTGGATCCTGAGACAGGAAGGGGAAAGACCAAGAGGCACCCCAAGTCCTCAGGACACAGCTAGGATCCCTGCACCCTTACAGCTGCAAAACTGCTCTCCAGAACTCCCGCAGCTGCCCAAGGCCTGATTTTTTCTCCTCCACTGCTGCAATCACTACCAGTTTGCAATGTATTTCAGTGGGCATCAAAAAGAAGCAGGTCAGTTTAGTCTCACTCACCTCTGGGACCAGGATCACCAAGCTCTCCTGTTGGCCCTCTGTACCCAGGGGGACCACGAGGACCGGGGTGCCCAACACTTCCCACTGTCCCAGGAGGACCTGGGGGACCAGCTGGGCCAGGACGACCCGTCATTCCAGGAGACAAGGGCTTTCTCAGGTTAGCAGCTAACTGTGCAATTTGATCTGAAAAAGGACAATTAAAAGCTGCATGTTCAAAACTGTCACTCTTCGCTTGGTGTTTGTCATCATCTGCCACCAAGGGTGCTTGATGAACAGCTGTAAACTGGGTGTCTGAGAGTAAAGCAGAGCTGTGTTCTGCTCCCTACCACTGCTGCACACTTACTGCTTCTGGAGAAGGAAACATTGAATCTGCCCTCTCAGCTCATCTGTGCCTTGCTTTTTTTTTTTTTTTTACATCTCTTTTGGGCAGAAATCTGCTTTTAAACCATTGATATTTCCTGGCTCCTAAACCACCGTAAAAGATACTAGGTATTCTAGAAGAGGATACTTAAATTATAGTTAAAAGAAGGTTTCTGAAACAGTATTTCAGAGTGTAACAATGCTTGTGCCAGAGCTGCTTT